AATGATAATAACTGATACAAGGTGATGTAGGGAATGCAGGGGTATGGGAAGGATGATAGGGAGGGAAAGGGGATTTCGGCAGTAAATAATGAACACAGGAGAGGGGGACGAAGCACTAGAATGGATTGTGATTGCATAACTGATCTTAAAGGCGATTTACCCATGCGGGGGGAGGGGGTAGGAGATACTTTAAAATTGACGTGGGGTCATTGTACAATTCTCCTTGATCTGACTGAATGGTTGAATTATTGAATTGTATGATATGTAAATTACTTGCCTATAAAACTGTTGAACAAAAGGAAAAGAAGTTATATGTTTATGTTTTAAATTTTCTTCTCATAAATTATAACTTCATGCAGTCTATTTTTCAGACTCACAATTTATAAGGGATAGGCATATTCTTACGCAATATGAAGACATTAATTATAGCTGCAAAGGTCTTTGTTATGAATTTTGGAATGAATTTTGCCCTCCTACTAGACAGCTCCTAAATCTGTGGTGGAACCTTGGTGATCTAATGGGTAAGGATTGAGTTGCTAACCTCAAGGTCAGCAGTTTGAAACCTCCAACTGCTCTTAGAGTTCGTCTCGGAAACCCATAGGAGCAGTTCTACCCTGTTCTGTGGGGTCACTTTGAGTTGGAGTTAGCTCAATGGCAGTGCATTTTGTTTTTGAGTTTATACCAGAACTATAATTTGGAAATAAGTTTTCTTTGTTATATTAATGAGGCAGTTAGTGTCAGGTGTGTTTTAAGCCAGTCTCCCTTCGGGTTGAAATAAAAGCAGATTCGGCACAGGTGAGCAAGCAGAGATGGGGAAAGATTGATGTCGTGCCAAGTGATGTTCATGAATAAGCCAACGGATAAAAATTCAGCAGGGACTTTGCCCCAGACCCCACAAAGAGAGTCTTCTATGGTTGATGTCCTTGTTTTGCACTTCTGTGGTCTTAAATGAGCGTAAATAAACTTTGTTCATTAAAGCCAACTACTTATTTCTGCTATAGCGGCACTAGGTAACTAAGACATAATTGGGACCACTTTAATTGTGGTGCACCTCTAACAAATACTTACCATGTGAAAGTGGTTTCAGAATCGGGTTATATCTGGAAAGCTTTAAGAGTTTTAGGGTGGGTCCAAACAATTTGGAGGATGGTCCAAGATTGAGCAGTGTTTCATTCTGTTGTCCACAAATTAGCTGAGTTGGCACTGACTCAATGATACCTGAGGACGGGCACAGGAAAGTACTAGTTTACCTGAAAGATACTGTTTGTACAGTTGTGGCATCATGGTCCGGTGAGAACTTATAAAATGAAGAGCTATAGAGAAAGTTTCTATCACCATGGAGATTACACATGACACTGTCAACTGATTTCTGCTAGACATTTAGACATTACATATGATCCAGTGAGCCATTGCAATAATGAATATCTGATTAGACAATAGAAGAATGATTCTGGCAGGCAGCTGGTATAAATTATGCTAGGCTGTTTGGTGGAAAAACAGAATTACCAAGCGATAGATTTGGAAAACTTGGAAGTCTAGCTGATACAATCTCTAAGCCACATCTTTACACAGGACTCTGACGCTTTGTTGTTAGTGGGCATCTAGTCTGTTGCCACTCAAAGCAATCGTATGTACAACAGAACAAAACACGGCCCGGCCTAGCAGCCGTCTCACAAGTCTTGCTCCGTTTGAGTTCCTTGTTGCAGCCACTGTGTCAATCCATCTTGTTGAGAGTCGTCCTCTTTTGGATTGCCTTCTATTTGACCAAATACATCCCTTTCCAGAGACTGATCTCTCCTAAGAACATGTTCAAACTATCTTTTTTTTTTTTAATTTTATTTGAGATTACCTAGTTACTTATCATTTTCATCTCAAGTTTACAGCAGTCTGTTCTTACTTAAAAATCCCTTGACTTCCTCCCTATTTGAATGTTTTTTGTATGCACTATTCCCTCTATTTACTATGTAATTGTCTTCATTGTCAAATGATGTCTTGGGCTTCCTGCTTTCAGACCTTGAAGTCTGTTACACGGCTTTAAGTGCAGTGGTTGTATCTTTCATGTTGATTTCAATTGGCTGTCTGCTGTTGATTCTCGGGCCAAAGAATGCCCCTTTGTATTTTGGTAAAGGTGCAGCTTGTTTTATTTTTGGTTTCTACTGAAAAATAATTAACTTCTTTTCAATAGTTGCCCTTTGTAGGTAGCTTTTATTATTTTCCCCTGAGATTGTCTCAGAATTCTCTCTTTGCCTCTGATATTGGAATGTTTGATTATGATAGGTTGTGCTGATTTTTGGGGGGGTGTATAGGGTTTGAAGTTTGTTAACCTTCTTAAATGGGTATTTTCTTCTCTTTCATGATGCTATAGAATTTTCTTCCAGCCGTTCTGGGACTATTTTCTCTGTGGGTTTTCTTTTCATTTTCCTGTCGAAAGCTTACTGTCTCTGTTGTCATCCTCTTGTTAGTGCCCCACAGAGCTGGTAGAGTTTCTTCCACTTTGGGGGATTATTTTATGAGTTTTTCTTCTCATTGAGTGGTAACAATAGATTTGTCTTCAGACTCACTATTTCAGCCTTCCATTGCGTCAATTCTACTGTTTTACGCTTTCAATGTATTACCTATTTGGAATATCTTAGTTTTAGTCTTCGGGACTTCTATTTGTTGTTTTTGTAAGGTTTCTAATTTTTCATTTATTTAGTCAGTTTGCCTTATAGAGTTTCCTGAGTTCTTCCAATGTTTTTTCTATTTTCCATAGCTCTCTTGATATTTTTCTCCATTTTTTTAAGTACCTGAGAAACATTCTTTGGAATTCCTCTTCTGATCGTTCCAATAGCTTTTATTCATCAGGAAAAAAAATTGGCTCTGTATTGGTAAGCGTGATAGTTAGATCTTTTTGTGCCAACATGGCACCTGTAGGAAGATACGCATGGAATCCAACTTGCCAATCACGTCACAGCCTAATGCTGTGTCCTTGGGCATGTGGCCTTCTATATGGAAGGCGCTGGGAGCCTCCTCCTCTCTCTGGTATTGACTTTGGTAGCTGGCGGAGCCTTGTCATGTGTCCACTAATCTTGGATCCACACAATTTTGCACACACGTGCTTGTGATCTTCCTGCATTCTGCATCGCATGCGACTGCAGGAGTCTGGAGAAGAACTAATGGACTAGTATTTGAACTTATGAACTTAAGTTGGATTGGGCTAGGATACTTTCTTGATATGTAATTACCTATTGATATAAAGCTCTTTCTTATACAGATGATTCTCACTGGATTTGTTTTGGCCTAACATAATCACTTCAAGAGAAAGATGAGGCTTTCTCCTTCCAAAATGAATTGCAATCGCAGAAACTCACAGGACAGTTCAGCCCTGTCCTATAGGTTTGCTGTGAGTTTATTGGTCACCTGCTTGTGCTGTTCCACCTTGCTTCTTTGTAAACAGATTCTCTGGGGTCTCTGAAACATGATAATGTTTTTGAATTCATATCTATTTTTCAAACAAGTAGTAATGGAGTCTAGGATGCCTATGCTTTTCTAGGCCCCTGAAAGCTTTGGGAGAAGGATTAGCGTGCTGCAAGGTTTGAGCTTTGTTTCACATTTTTCTCCCACTCTATCAAAGACCTTGGAATGTGATCCTTTTCAGAACAGTTGGGAGTGGTGACTGGAGCCATTTAGGTCTTCTGGGCTCAAGGTGGTGGAGACTGATGTTTACATTGTCTTTTAGTCCACTGGATTCATTGATCCCATATGTTTTATTGGTTGGTTGGTTGGTGTTTTCATTACTCTTCTTTCCTCTGGACAGAAAGATCAATGGTTGTATCTTAGAAGACTGCTCAAGAGCTTTACAGACCCTTGCTGCTACTCACCAAAGTAATGTATAGAACACAGTCTTTGTTATGGCCATAGAACTCGGTTCCCTTAGACGATAAGCCTGCTTTCTCAGGCCCATAGACACATTCTTTTAAGGAATTTGCTTATATTCAAGAAGTATTCACAACTTGGCTTCCTATAAGCTCCATCTTATTCTTAGATATATTTTCAGCCAAAGCAAATACACATATACACATAACCTCTATCATCTATATATATCCTCCCCGTGGATATACTCCTACTGTCCCTCCCATACATAATCAGTCTGCCTGTCTAAGTATCTACTCCTAGATAAACAGCATTGCAGCATTATGTATAAAAAAGCATTGGGTTCTGTGACTGTTATCCTACCAACTCCCAATAGATTGCTGTGCCTCCATGATTTTTCACCAACCTTCTCTTTGTTGCATACTGTCTTACCCTTCACCCAGGAAAGAGCCGTCTCCTGCCAGCCTGTGCTAGAACTCCTTGTTCTCTCTCACTCCCGCCCTCGTAACCATCCAATGAGGTTTCTTTTTTTTATATATACATGAAGTTTATTTAAACAACAAGACACTTGACTTGAAGGGAAAACTATCTAGGCTTCATTTCTTGGAGAGTAATTTACCCCTGCTTACAGATTGCCCTACATGTAAGAGCTACGTACAAAAAAGTTATAAAATTGTCCTTGGTTTTACAATGAGAAATGAAAAACATTAAAATCCTCCAATCCAACAAGGTATGCAAGGATTTTTTGCGTGTCGTTTTTTGTTTTTGTTAAACAGTGAGAGCCAAATTACTTAGTGGAAAATAAAGTTAGGAGCTGGATGAGCCGCTCATGGGGAAGGGGTGTTTTCACAGAGCCAGTATTTCCCCATCCTGTCTCCACTTGTGTCAATCAAAAGAGACCATTGGCCATTTAGTTAAAAAAACAAACAAAAAATACCCAAGGAAATAAAATAAAGGGAAAAATGCACTATGCATGTGCACATGTACCAGTTACTGTATGCACAATAAAGGAATGGGGGGTGGGGAATGAAAGAGAAAACTATACTGCAGTCATCAGGAGGTGGTAGAACCAAATTGTGGTTTTCAAATAGAGAATGGATTCTTGGTTGGTAGGAAGAGAGTTCTGGAGGAAAGGAGCAGGCTCCCTCTTAGAAGATGCCTCCTGTCTGCTGCTGGAACACATCAATTGTATCTTTGTCCTCCATGTCCAACTGTGCAGATGTGTCTGTTTCATTGATTGGCTGTCCGTCAAATCAGAATCTGATCTGCCTTACTGACAAACCCTGTCGTTCACAATAGGCTTTCATCAGTTTGCTAAGTGGCGTATGCCTCTTAATCTTAAACTGCACCCCAGAACCATCCTGCCCCGCCACCTTCAAATTCATATGATCGTCCTTCTCAGTCTTGACTCCTTCCTTGGGCTTCCTGTCGGCCATGGCGGGTGTGGAAGTCTCCTCCGCTGCCGCTTCACAAAAGAGGTAGCAGGTCCGCACCAAAGGAGCACACAGGCAGCTCCAGGAGCGCCAGAAGCCAAATGAGGTTTCTTTTGACATGAAAAACCCTTCTTGGTACTTTTTAGAACAGTGATCTTTTGTGATTGATTCATTTCACTCAGGATAATACCCTCCACGTTCCTGTTACGAGGCGTTTTGCAGAATCACCTTTATTATTTGACACTGTGTTGTATTCCAGTGTGTAGATTCAAAAGTTTATCCATTCTTCCACAGATGACCATTTAAGTGATTTTTT